TGCCGGATGTTGTCATGCAAACTGTAATTTTAGCACTTGGAAGGCTGATACGGAAGGGTGGGGAGCGCGAGGCGACCATGCGCTGCACAGCAGGTTGTAGGACAGCTGAGGCTACAGAGGGAGACCCTATTTCAAGAAACAAAACCACAACAGCAAAAAACCATGGAACAGGAGCAGAAAAGGCACTGTGACAAGGAAGGAAGGGTGTGGAAGGACAGAGACAAAAAGAGGATCGCGGGACACACATGTTGTATTAGTCCTATTTTAGGAGCAGGAAAAGATTATTGGGAACAAAGAAGCGACCAGCAAGCGGGAGAGGCAGCTTGAGTGAGAGCTGTAGAAGGTAAATAAGGACAAAGTATAAATCATACATGCACACGCATATATACAGAAATGTGATCGTAAGTACACACGCATATATACAGAAATGTGATCACAAGCACACATGCATATATGCAGAAATATCACATGATGAATTCTGTTTTTTTTTATATGCTAACCAAACATTTTTTATAAAGTTTTAAGTGGGGGCTGGAGAGGTGGCTCAGTGGTTAAGAGCACTGCCTGCTCATCTAAAGGTCCTGAGTTCAATTCCCAGCAACTACATGGTGGCTCATAACTATCTGTAATGGGATCTGGTGCTCTCTTCTGGCCCACAGGGATACATGGAGGCAGAATATTGTATATATAGTAAATAAATAAATAAATAAATCTGAAAGAAAATGATGAAATTATATGTATAACAAAGAATTATCTTGAAATAAAAATTTTTAATTGAATTAACTTTAAATAAGCTACAATGCTTTGGTCATCTGCACTCCAAACAGAATTTGTGTACAGAGTCCTTTTATCAGCCTGCTGGTCTTGGACGTCCTCTTCTGCAGAATGATTCTTCCTTGTGGTAATCCCTCTTTAGCCAGGTTGACCCAAAATAAAGTATCTGTGTAAAAAAATTCCGAGTGTAGCTGTAGCTTTATCTTTTCTGTCTGTCTTAACACATTTTCATCATGAGACTGTTCTTTATCCTAGCCAATCCCGATGGAAAACCCCTATAAGGAGCCCCTCAAGAGGTGTATCCTGTGTGAGAAACGTGTGGATTATAAGAATGTACAGGTGAGTGTTGGTTGCCTCTGTGGTACTTGGCTAGGATTCTATTTGGTTCATTTGGTCAGAGGATCTCATCACTGTCATCAGGCATCTGTAGACCGGATTGAGCCAGCTCATGATATCCCATCTGGTTATCTGTGTTATCTCTGTTCAGCTCAGAGCCCCTTGCTCCCCTCAGTCGTATGATTTGGCTAAGTCTCCTTTGCTCCGTTGTGCACAGTGGCTCACTGCACTTTGATAGAGGGCTTTGGGGAGAGCTGACCCGTGAAACTGTCCTTTGCAGTTCACTATCATATTATATTGCTTTAAATATTGTTTCTCCCTACGCTTTCAGCAAATTAGAAGTAATAAATTGGGGGGACGTGAATGAAATGAGAGTTAAGTATTTTCACAGTAGTGTAAAATGATAGTTGCCTTAGGAGGAGAAAATGCAAGAAATTATAAAAACTACAATGCAGCAGATGGTTGAGGGGAGAGGCAAGGCCAGTGCCTTGCATCTAGAAAGTGTTATTAAACTGTTCAAGAAGAAGAAGTACCCTAGTCTGTGTGTCCCGAAGAGTTCACTTGATTGCCTGTCATGAAAGGCGAAGTATCCAGTCCTGGCTGTGAGCAGCAGTGTTACGTGCCTGTGGGAGTCGGTCACCATGGTACCTAACAGAAAGGCTGACTCCTGTGCCTTCAAAAGATGCCTTGTTGCTACAAGGTATTTTAGTTCATGTTATTAACTTTGTCTGAAACAATTAAATGTTTACATAACTTGAAGGTCGTTCCTAAAACCTTTTTAAATTTACATATTCAGGGCTGAATAACAAATACACTAACATTTTTCCCTTTCAAATATACCCGAGCAGCTTTTGTCCCAGTTTATCTCTCCGTTTACCGGATGCATTTACGGAAGGTACATAACAGGTACGTTCTTAATCTTAGAAATGTAAATGTAGATAGGAATCACACTGATCGCTTCTGTTACTTTAGGAGACTGGCAAGTTTCCAGTCATGCTGAGTCAGTGTTAGGCCAGCTCCACAGGGACTGGGGTGGGATCCTTAGGGAAGGATTTACCTTCAAGTGCAAGTGACTATTGCCTCCTTTACTCCCAGTTAACTTCAGGATGACAACATACAGAAATTTGGGCTTAGGCGAGAACTGTATCTTTGTCTAGACAGGCGGCCCAGCAGTTAAGAATGCATACAGTTCTTGCAGAGGACTGGAGTTAAATTCCCAGCACCCACATCAGGTGTCTCATAACATCTGTGACTCAGCTCCAGGGAATGCAGCATGTCTTGCTTCTGTAGGCACCAGAACTCCTGTGCACATATCCTACCACCATTAAAGATAGTAAAACTAGCTGGACGGTGGTGGCGCATGCCTTTAATCCCAGCACTCAGGAGGCAGAGGCAGGGGGATCTCTGTGAGTTCGAGGTCAGCCTGGTCTACAAGAGCTTGTTCCAGGACAGGCTCCAAAGCTACAGAGAAACCCTGTCTCGAAAAATCAAAAAGAAAAAAAAAAAAAAGATAGTAAAACTAAATCTCTCTTAAAATTACCATTCCTAGACTAAAGCAGTGTCAGCAGCTGATGGTGCTATCCAGACCGTCACTTGCTCTTTGTTTGTTTACATAGGGCCACATGGTTGTCATTGAGTTACAGTAGCAGAACCGAGTGTATGACAGAACAAATGATTCACAAAAGATTTTTTTACTTTCTTAACAGAAAAAAACTTACCAGTATTCATCTTAGAAAACTGTTGTAAATGTAGTACGAGCATTTTCTGATGTGTAAGGAAGTGCCTGTTCTATTTCACAGGTCTTTGTGGGAAGAAACAGAAAGAAATAACAAAAGCCATTAAGAGAGCTCAGAAAATGGGTAAGTCCACCTGCACAAATGAACAGAACTAGTTAAGACTTTACTCATTGACTTTGTGAAGAACTTTAATATCTCTTTACAGGGTTTATGCCAGTTACATACAAGGATCCGGCATATCTCAAAGACCCTAAAGTGTGTAACATCAGGTACCGGGAATAAACTGTGAAGTTACTGCCAATAAAGCTGGAAGTGAACATGTCAGCACTGACGGAGCTGCTTTGAGTAAAAGTGTCTTTCAGGGGATTAGGAGGGATGAACCCTTCCACACCATGAGTGTGCTCCAGACACACTGCTTGAGATTTTTGATGTTACCTTGTACACTTTGATAAAGTGGTACCTCATGGTGTCGCACCTTCTTTATATAGTACCTTTGATTATGGAAGGGGCGGGCTTCTATTACCGAGCCCAGATTCCGTACTTACAAATGGGATGGTTTTAGGGGATTGGTTATAGAGAGGTAGTGTTTATGAATCCCACTTAACTGGCTGTGGAATTCAACTTGCTTTGGAGCCATTCTGTGCTTTTGTGTGCACATGTGCATGGGAGTGTATGGAGGCTAGAAGTTGATATCATGTTTTTTTCTCAATGTAACGCCACTTTTTTTTTCGTAAAACAATTATTCACTGATAATGACATGTGGAGGCCAAAGGTCATTGTACAGGCATTAGTTCTGTCCTTCCAGCCAGGAGTTCTGGTGACAGAACCCAGGTCTCCGGGCTTAACACAAGTATTTTTAACCCACCAAGCCACTGTGTTGGCCCATTTACCTCATGGTCTGAGACCAGGTCTCACTGGAGTTCACTTAGGCTGACCAGCTGACTCCCAAGCCCCAGGGAACCTCTTCCCTCCAAATTCTCAGTGCTGGGACTCCACGTGCACACCACTGTGCCAGGCTTAACCAAAACCGTGCTCTTGGCTCTTCAGTCACTCGTCTCCTTTGACCACACACATGCATATGCCCTTTATTTTAATGGAATTGTTGGGGTTCCAAACACAAGTCCTCCTGCTTATTGGCACCTTTGCTGACCTGTCTCCTAGAGTCGTTTGCTAACTAGTCGGTGTTGATTGCACCTGACTGTCAGAGTTCTCATTGCAGAGGTGCACACAGGGAATGATAGTAGACTAGTCCCTGCGAGACAAACTGTTCCTGGACTGCTGTTCCGTACACGGACGGATGACGCGTAGTCTGCTTTCAGTAGGCTGTGATGAGAGAAGGATCTGTTGACAACTACGGCTCCTTTCCTGTGCTGTACAGTACAGCTTACTACATCACCAGAAAAACACCCCAGCAGTTGTACAAATCATCCTCTGGGTAATGGGTAGCTTCAGAACAACCCCGTGTAATTAATGCATATCAACACCCAAGTCAAAGTGCTGCTGCTACATAAAATCATGTCTTAAGTAGTTTCTCCAGGCAGCAACAAGTGGAGAACAAGGGTAAAGTGTGTTCAGTGTTAACGTGCATTGAGTAGAACATGAAGGTAACGTGTGTGCACTTCACTGAATAGGTGGAAAAGACGGAACACATCTGCAAGGACAGTTTTGTTTGCCCCTTCTGAGATGAAGGCAGAGTTACCAGTTCCTGGGCTCACGCAGTCATCTGGCCTGAGGGGGGAACTGCATGAAGATGCAGAGGTTTATTTCGATTTTTCTGTTTCTCTGTGTACCCCGGTTGTCCTGAAACTCACACTTTAGACCAGGCTGGCCTTGAACTCAAAGAGGTCAGCCTGCCTCTGGCAGTGTATGCTGTCACCACCACCCAGCAGGGCAGATTTATGTTAATTTATGTTTATTTCTGTGTGTATGCTGTATGTGTGTGTGTGTGTGTGAGAGAGAGAGAGAGAGAGACAGAGAACACATTCTTGGAAACTGGAAGGGCATCGGATCCCCTGGAGCTGGAGTTACAGGTGGTTGTGAGCTACCTAATGTAGGTGCTGAGAACCAAATTCCAGTCCTCTGAAGTGCTTCAAGCACTCTTAATTGCTGGGCTCTCTTCAGTAAGAATCTTAATGAAGTAGATAAAAAACAAGATTTAAAAACTTTAGAATTTTATTAAATTTATTTGTGGGGGTTTCATGATTATGCCACAGTGATGGTATGTGTGGAAGTCAGAAGAACTTGTGGAAGACGACTCGTTTCTTCCATTGAGGGAGTCTCAAGAATCCAATTCAGGTTGTCGGTCTTCACTGCAGATGTCTGTGCCAGCTGAGCCAGCTCCCAGTTCTGATTTTGCAAACTTCTGTGCTCTTTTCTGTGTTGTGAAACAAGGCTACTTTCTCTTTTCCAATTTGAAGAATGTTGTAGTTTAAAAAAATGCATCTTTAAGTCTCCCTTGATAACTCGGGGAAGCTGAAAGGTCGTGGCTCTGAAATAAAAGCATCTTAGCTGGGTGTGGTGGCATGTTCTTAATCCCAACACTTGGGAGGCAGAGGCAGGCAGATATTTGTTAGTTTGAGGATAGCCAGAACTACATAAAGACCTTGTCTCAACAAACAAACCAAAAACCCATCTGGACTATAGCTCAGTGGTAAAGAAGATGCCTACCATTCATATGGCCCTGCATCGATTCCTGCACCACAAAGGTTTCTAAAAGGTACTTTAGATGTGGATGGACAGAGGCCAGGCCACTAGAAAAGGGTCAGGAGACGGGAGAAAAAGAATCTGCAGGGTCAAGGAAGGCAACAGAACATGGGATATAAAGGGGAAGGGAGAATTCCTGCAGGGAAGGCACAGTGAGAAGAGGCTGGGAAGCGAGGGAGGTTGCAGCTGAGTGGGACATGTACACATTCACAGAGCATTTGCAATGTATGAAATATAAATGGGAATTTCTAGAATACTTTATAAAACATTTTCATATTGTAAACGGTTGAGTAGTAAAAAATACCGTATTCCCCTACAGGGAAGTGAGACATGAACTTCTCATGTGTTACCCCAGTAGCAGACAGTAAAATAGCGTCTGGACCTCAGTTAAGTAAAAATATCATCTAGCAAGAATCAAAATGTGGGAGAGCGAGGGTATTCACTGTCCTCTTCCGTGCTTCCCATCTCTGTGTCTATATCTGGGCTGCTTGAGGATGTCCTGTTTTGGTGACTGCTTTGGGAATCTGTCACAGGTCTGCTTTCTGTCTCCTGCAGCCGTGGTTTCTTCCCGGGCCACTGGTCTTGCATGTCTACATCTTTACGCTTAGTTAGCTGGGCTTCGGGCAGAGGACTAGCGTCAGGGCTGTGAATATACTCCACCATTAAAGTCAGCTTAGCCACATCAAGATGATGCTTCATGTTACATCCACTTTGAGAAATATGTCTATTTTTCAAAGAAATAACACAAGAATGAAGAACCTCAGACTCTGGAAAAAAGGTTCGTAAAGCTTGACAAAGAAGAATGTTCTCCTGGGGGTTGTTCTGGACAGTCTTCTCTCCTAAAAAAAATAAGAAAGAGCTTAATGTTAGTTTTACAAACTTTTATGATTAGCTGTAAAGTAAAAACTATTCTAAAAGACAGATTATTCAGAATAAGAATGACATAACACAGATTCCTGTCCATGTGCCACTCTATTCTAAGAGAAAAGCAGTCTTGTACTTTTTATCTGATACAACACACCCACCACAGTACCGTGGTCACCGTTTGGGAAGATTACGAGCACAGTGTCATCACTACTTGTAATCCCAGTACCTCGGGTCATTGGTCAGGACCACGGCTCATGCGAATGTGAAGCTAGTGTCATCTGCTTACCTGCTGCTTTAATCCGGGCTTGCTGCTCTTTTCTAACTTCTTTTAATCGGTTTACATCCATCATTAATTTCTCTACTTCTCGTTCACTTTGTTCAACTTTGTGGCATATGCTCTACACAATAAAACAGTGCACAGATGAAAACATTCCAGGTTTTATACTAATGAGGCTTTACAATATAACATTCTCAGACTGTAGAATACCATTAACCTTTCGTGTAAGCCACCTCCATAACAAGCATTTGATGATAACAGCATACACTGTGGATGTATTAGCTTTCCATTTATTTATGGACCAGCTATTTCCTTGATAAAATTCATTTTGAAATATAAAAAAAAAAGTATTGGGCTGAGGATAGAGCTCATTACCTAGAATGTGTGTAGCCTGGGGTTCAAGTCCCAACATGTGCCCCACCCCAAAAGCTGAAATACATTAACTGATTCTCACGTTTATGACGTGGAAGTAGGATTAGCAGTTAAAGGTTATCCTTATCTATAGGGAGCTCAAGGCCAACCTGGGCAACACAAGAACTTGTGTCATAATACCAAAAAAACAAACGATAAAATAAAAAGTGGCTATGTTTTAAGGAAATTATGGAAGATTATAATTCCTGTAAGACAAACTACATTTGAAGAGCAAACTGACATTATATGTCTCAGTTTTAAAAGAATTAGTAATTTTGTTTTGGAACTAGACTAATAAAAGTTTATATAGGATAATGTTTGGATAATGTTTCTTACTGTTAAATATTGTTAATTTCAAAATATAGGTCAGAATTTAAGTATAGCCAGTTGTAGTGGGTACTTTTCATGGTATTTGTCCAGAACTATTCAAATAATCAAGACATAGAATCATTATATGTCCGCTGAAATACAACTGGGTGAAGACATATAGTAGAGAGAAAAGCTAAGAATGATCTACTTGGAAAATGTAGAGCGGATGCTAAGTGTTCCCACCACAAAAATGCTGACACAAGGCACAAGGCAGTTGTTACTTTCCTAGATATAACCTTCTATCACACACACACACACACACACACACACACACACACACACACACACACAC